GCAGCCTGGGTGACAGCGAGACCCCGTCTCAAAATAAATAAATAAATAAATAAATAAAATAAGAGAGGGTCTTCCTTTGTCTGCCACGATAATAGCTCACTGCAGCCTTGACCTCTTGTGCTCAAGCCACCCTCCCACCTCTGCCTCCTGAGTACAGGCGTGTGCCATCATGCTTCACTAATTTTTACATTTTTGGTAGAGACAGGGTCTTGCTATGTTGCACAGGTTGGTCTGGAACTCCTGGCCTCAAGCAGTCCTCCTGCCTCAGCCTCCCAAAGTGCTGGGATTACAGGCGTGAACCACCGCACTCAGATCTCTCCCGTCCCCGCAAAAATGCTTTTAGTGCATTGTTCGGTTCCCCACCGCTAAAATCAAACCAACAACAAAGTTGTGGCGCTGAGACTGCGCTAGGCAGCCAAGGAGCGCACAGGAAAGGTCGGGCTGCCTTCAGGACAAAGGTTCAAGTCGGCTGCTACTGGGAAGCCTGCCCTGGGGCCAGTGACGACGTGGGGGGATCTGACCCAAGACTCCACATAAGCTTAAGTTTCTCTAAGGGACTGCGTATTGTCACTGCCACCACCTTCTGAGGTCTCCTCGGCGTCGCAGAGAAGGCGAGAACTACATTTCCCAGAATCCTCTGCCACGTGGGGCTTCCGCAGAGCCTGCAAATGAGAAGTCCTTATAAGAGATCTGATATGCAGGCGAAAGGGAGAGGGCGCAACTTTGCACTGGTGCCGCAGGCGGACGCACGGGCAGACACGCATTTGCTGCAGCTTCTGGGTGTGCTTCTTGAGAGTCACCTGCAGTGGTGCTGCAACCCGAGTGAGTGGGTGGGAGCCTCCCGGAGGCCCTGGAGATTAGAGTGGCCTCAGAGCAAGCCTTTGAGCTCCACGCACTTGGGTGCTGCAGACTGAAGTGCTGCGGAAGGCTCCCTTACCTTTGCTCCTCAGCCTCCGAATGGTTGTGTAAACCTCTATTTCCCTGTATCCAAAACCTAAGTACTTGGTATGCTAATGATGTATTTCTTGCCTCTTGTTTCCAAATTCACTTTTTAATACCTGTTCTGTGATAATGGGCAAAATTCCTTTAAACATATCTCCTTACGGTGAGCATAACAAGCGTATTCAGTAGAGGGCCCCGGAAGGCCATTTAGGGGAGGAATACACTTCTCCTGCTGGCTCTGGCTCTGTATCTTCGATGACTGGTGAGGGTGAGAGGCCGCCCGGTGGTGCACTTTCCCGGTCAAGCATCCAGGACACGGCCCCTCGGTGAACTCAAAGCCTCAGCCCGGCCTGATAATCACCTGCCTGAGGCCCTCCAACATGGACAGTGGCTGCTTCAGGCCTTCTGCCCCCAGTGGTGCCTTAACTCCTTCTCTGCACCTGCATGCTCGCCTACCTGATTGCTCACCTGGGCCCCAGAAGCTTGTTTCTTTCCTGTCCAGTGACTGAGGACAAGCTCTGGGCCAGGCCACCTTGTGAACTTATCTGCCATTCAGTGGGCAGCAACCACATCTCCAATGAGGTCTGAACCCCAGCTCTGGGGAGGGAGACCCTCTCAAAGTTTGCCCTACCTTAGGTAGTTTCTCTTAGCCCTATAGTTCTCTTGACATCTTGTAGTTACTTTTTAATCATCAATTAATCGATATGTATATATTTTTAGACAGAGTCTCGCTCTGTCGCCCAGGCTGGAGTACAGTGGCACGATCTTGGCTCAATGCCGCCTTTGCCTCCTGGGTTCCAGTGACTCTCCTGCTTCAGCCTCCCAAGTAGCTGGGATTACAGGTATGCACCACCAGGTCCGGTTAATTTTTTTTGTATTTTTAGTAGAGATGGGGTTTTGCCATGTTGGCTAGGGTGGTCTCAAACTCCTGACCTCAAGTGATCCACCTCAGCCTCCTGAAGTGCTGGGATTACAGGTGTGAACCACCACGCCTGGCTTCTTTATGTTAAATTTCATTTGTTTAAATCACTGTGTAGTTTCTGTCCTTTGACTGGACACGGATAGATACATTTGGAATACATAGGGCACAGGGCTTCTGTTTTCCTAACTAGACACTGACTGACAGAGGCTAACATAGCTCTATATCTATCAACACCCTGGCACCCGGAAGAAGCAAATGTACATGCTATTTGGGGTTTACTCTTCTGCTTAGGTCTTTGGAACTCATTTATTCATTCAACAATGACTTGTTAAGCACCTGTTACATTTCAGTCATGGTTCTAGATAATGGGAATATAGCAATGAATGAAACAAAAGCCCTACCTTGCATTTCTCCAGGAATGTATCAAACACAGAAGGAAACAAGCCACCATGAATGAGAACAGATGACAAAAAATAACACATTTAGAGCCCTAAGCTTTTTGGTTATTGAAATTTCAATAGCAGATTTAAAATAACTAGGTAGGAAATGTTTAAATAAATAAAACATGGTATCACAGGAATAAGCAAGGGATGAAAAAGACAAATAATAACACATGTTGGTGAAGATGTGGACAAATTGGAAGTTTCATATATTCCTGGTGGGATTATAAAATGGCACAGCCCCTTTGGAAAACAGTCCAGCAGGTCCTCAAACTGTTAAATACAGAGTTAGTACATGACCCAGCAATTCCACTTCTAGGTACAGGGCCAAGAGATCTAGTACCTCTTGGCCCTGTACCTAAAAAAAGTCCACAGAAAAACTTACACACGAATGTTCGTAGGAGCATTATTTATAATTGCCAACAAGTGAGAACAACCCCAAAATCCATCAACTCGTAAATAAATTAGGGTATACACATTCAGTGGACTATTATACAGCTATAAGAAGGTACTAAGTACTGATGTAACATGGTTCAACCTTGGAAATATTATACTAAGTGAAAAAAGCAAGTCATAAAAGGCCATATGCTGTATTAGGCCATTTATATGAAATGTCCAGAATAGGCAAATCTACAGAGACAGAAAGTAGACATAATGGGGATAGAAGGAAGCTGATAGTGATGGATAATGGATACAGGATTCCTCTTTGGGTTGGTATAAATGTTCTAGAATTAAATAGTGGTAATGACTTCACAACTTCTGTGAATATACTAAAAACCACTGAATTATATACTTTAAAAGGTTGAATTTTATGACATGTGAATTATATCTCAATAAAGCTATTATTTAAGAAAATAAGGCAAAGACCTTTGCAATTGATCAGACATATCTGAAAAATAAGCAAATAGAAATTTTAGAGCTTAACAATTTGTTGACATTAAAACTGAATGGAGGCCAGGCACAGTGGCTCATACCTGTAATCCCAGCACTTTGGGAGGCAGGGTGGGAGGATCACTTGAGGCTAGGAGTTCAAGACCAGCCTGGGCAACATAGCAAGACCCCTATCTCTACAAAAAAAAAATAATTAAAAAATTAGCTGCTGTGGTGGCATGCTCCTGTATCCCAGCTACTGAGGAAGCTGAAGCTGGAGAATCCCTTGAGCCCAAAAGGTTGGGGCTGCAGTGAGCCATGACTGTGACACTGAACTCCAGCTTGGGCAACAGAGACCCCATCTCTAAAAATAAAATGAAACAAAACAAAACAACAATAACAAAAACTCAATGGACAGGCTAAACAATAGATTAAATAAAGCTGAGTAGTGAATTGGTAAACTGGAAGACAGATTGAGAAAATTACCCAAAATGCTGCACAGGGAGTTAAGGAGATGACAAACGTGAAGGAAGAGTTAAGAGAAGACAAGACAGGGGAGAATGAGAAAGTCTAAAAAATATCCAATCAGAATCCCAGGAGGAGAGAGTAGAGAGAATAAGAGAGAAGCAATATTTGAAAAGCTAACCACTAGATAAGAATTTCCAGATCTAGTAAAAGACACGAGCCCACAGATAAAAGAAAGACAACATACATCAAGAAGTGGCTCACAGCCGGGCGTGGTGACTCACACCTGTAATCCCAGCACTTTGGGAGGTTGAGGTGGGGGGATCAAAAAGTCAGGAGTTCGAGACCAGCCTGGCCAAACCAGTTTTGTTTAGTAGAGCGAAACCCCGTCTCTACTAAAAATACAAAAATTAGCTGAGCTTGGTGGGCTGAGCTTGGTGGCGGGCGCCTGTAGTCCCAGCTACTCGGGAGGCTGAGGCAGGAGAATCACTTGAACCC